CTGAATAGTCACATTAGTGAGCTTCTGAAAAGTTCAAGTAAATGTGTTTTACCCCCCTTGATTGTATATATACATGTTAACATCACTTACAATAGATTAAGCAAGGTAGGTAAAAAGTCCTCCCTGGAAAGTTGACTGCAACACTGTTCCTGCACTGTAGGGTGTGTAGGCAGCAGCTTTCCACCTGGAGAGTTGACTTCATACTGTCTTCTCGGGAACTGGTACGGACCTGTTCCCTCAGATATTCCTTCCACTCTGAAGAGTTGAATCATAATGCAAACTGGATCTCGACCTGGAACCTTGTGATCTTAAGGTCTTCTAAATGCGTAACAGGTTCCTTATCTGGTTCTTGGATAGTAAGTTTGTTAGATCATCAAAACATAAAGCAAAGTACTTATGAACAAAGTACTTGTAACCTATCATAATTGGTTGTAACCGGATACTGATCCAATTAGGTAAAAGATTGCCTCTGTTTATTCTTTTCTTAATTTGATTGATGTGTTTATTCGCTTTCCTTTTTCTTTTGAGGAAGTTACATGTTGATGTGGCAGTCAAAGTATTTATATTTGTTAGCCAATATGCATAAATTATATATTAATTATATGTATATTATACATCTGACGACTATTTTTTTAGTGTGGCTGCTAAACAATGTAAAAATCCCTTTTCTTTTCTTTATTTAGCATGAAATTTACTCAAGATATTAATACTTACACCCTAAGCAGCTCATAAAGTTCAATTAATTTAAGTGTAGAAGGAAGTCTTAAGCAGATTACGAGGGGTGCTTCACTTTAACCCCTTTAATTTGAACCTTTACTTGAAACTTTTTGTATTTCGTAAGTTAATGGAGTTAGGAATGAGCATTTAGTTAAACAGTATAGGTATAATTTTATTTTACTTTTTGCTAATTAAAGGAGAGTTTATTATATTAAAAGTATAGAAGTTTAGTTATTACATAACATAGGGATAGACCGCATTGCAGTTTTTCCCGATTTGTCTTTATTAAAAACTTGTAAAATAAAAGCCGGAGGTGTTTCCCAGTACATAGTGCTATCTTCCTCCGTTGATGTTTGTTGCCTAGTGCTTCCACACTTTGCCAAAGCGTCAGCTATAGTGTTGCCTTCCAAATATACATGTGTTATTGCTGCCACTCCAATAGCATCAAGAAGAAAACTGCGATCATGAAGAAGATGTGAGTAGCAAGGTTGTTCATCTTTAAATAAATTACACAATGCCTATGAATTTGTTTCCATAATAGTGGAAAAGAGATTTTTTGTGAAGGAGAGTTCTAGTCCAGCCATTAGTGCTAGAAATTCAGCGTGAAGTGCGGATATTGTAGTTGTCTTGTGCGCGAACCCCACTATCCAATTGCCATTGTGGTCTCTGATGAATCCACCAGTGCCATTGGTTTGATTGTTTTTACCATTAGCTCCATCAATATTTAGCTTGTAGTGGTTAGTATGTGGGTACCATCTTATTGGTATGTGAAGCTTAGGGTTTGGTTTCACGGTAATCTGTGCAATTGAAATGAACTCAGCAACTTGAGTCATAATTTTGTTCTGGCATGCGATAGAAGTTGTGTGGTTGAAGAGGTTAGAGTTCCTATTAATTCAAGGGTTTCACAGGATGAAAAGTATTAAGATGGAGTTTGGAGTTTGGAGTTTTGAGGGAGGCATTTTTTGTGTTGATGGTAGTGTCTTTGAGACACGTAACTTTTATCAAGTGGACAAAGTTGCGTACTTGTGGTTTTTGAAGATTGAAAAACGTCCATAAGTGGCATGAATTTTCGCACGAGGAGAAAATGTGGTATATGTCTTCTACTTCGGTTGGACAAAATTGGCAAAGGTTTGTTTGGAGTATTTTTTTTTAACAGGAAGTCTTTAGTGGGTAGCTTGTGGTGCACAAGTAACCACATGAAATATTTCAGCTTGTTCAAACACTTAAATTGCCAGATCCAAGAGGTATTGGTAGAGTTGGATTGCTTTATTTGGTTGTTGATTTGTAGTTGTAGCAGATAGGCTGACTTTGTGGTAAAGTTGCCATGGGGTATTTGGTTCCAGAAGAATTGATCAGTTTTTGGTGAGAATGGGATGTAGACCTTGTTAATTTTGTGTACAATATCAGCGTGTAAGGTTATAGATAATCTATCAAAACACCATGAATGATTTGTGAGGATTGAAGGCACTGTTTGTTGTTCCTTCATATATTGTAGAGGCCCCTGTATTGAGTAGCGTAAACAGTTATTATTAGGAATCCAGTTACCATACCAGAGATTTATTTTTTCTCGTCTCCTATGTTACACAAAAGCCCTGAACGGAATAGAGGATTTGCTTTGGTCATGCTTTTCCATAAGTATGAATCAACAGGTTTAGCCTCGAGCGTGTCTGCTCGTTGATGTTGGACATATTTTGCTTGTAGAACTCGTACCCACTTCGATTGATTGTTCTTATGGAATCGCCATAGTAGTCCTTCAAACATTGCATAATTCTTCTCACTGGTTTTATAAAGCCCTAGTCCTCCGAGTACTTTTAGAGTGGTTATAGTCTCCCAATTGACAAGGTGGACTTTCCTTTTTTTTCCAGAGTTGAACCCTATAGAAAATCTCGTTGGATACGGTCTATGTGATTCCTAGTAGAGGTTGGCAGTAGGTTATTTTGCATGGAATAGTTTGGTATGGTGGATAGTACTGAATGGATGAGGGTGATTCTACCTGCCAGGTTGAGAGTTTTTGCTTTCCAACCTGAAAGCTTGTTTTTCAATTTGTCAATTATGTATTTGAAAGTCTTTGCCTTTGGGGTGGTTGTTTGTTAGGTTGAAACTCAGGTATTTACCAAAGTTGGTAGCCTTGCAGATGTTTTGGGTACTGGTAAGGCACTCTTGAGTGTTGAGCGGTACATATTTTGAGAAAATTTTTTTTGATTTAGAGAAATTAATTTTTTGCGCTAATTGGTGGTGGAGAGAATTGAATGTATTAATAATAGTGCTGGCATTGTGTAGATCAGCACGAGCAAATAATATCAGGTCGTCTGTAAAAAGCAGGTGTGAGACTGGTGGCCCCAATCTGCTAATCTTGACTGGTATTAGTCACCATTGGTTGTGGCTTGATCAATCTGGTGGGATAGTGATTGCATACAAATGATAAAGATGTATGGGGATAGCGGATCTCCTTGACGAATGCCTTGAGATGGTTCAAAGAAGTTAGTAGGTCCTTCCATTTATCATGATTGAGACGGACGAGGTGGAGATGCAATTCATAATAAGCGTGATTAGAATAGTTGGGAATCCTAGGTTGTAAAGAGATTTGATATGAATGACCATTCAAGTCTATCAAATGTCTTTTCTATCTCTAGTTTAAGCACCATATTTTCCATCCGTCTTGACATGCGATTAAAGGAGTGGATTGCTTCTTGCACTATGATTGCATTATCAGCCCTTCGACCTGGAGGAAGCTGCATTGATTGGGACTGATGAGACGTTTGAGGAACGGTTGAATCCTGTTGACGATAATATTGGTAATCGTTTTATATGATGTGTTGCACAGGCTAATTGGTCTATATTGGGATATGTGTTTCGAATTTTTAACTTTTGGAATGAGTGTGGTAAAGGTGATATTTATCTCTGCAGGGATTGTATGAGATTCAAACGCATCTTTGCAAATTTGGATTACAGCGCATTTGGTTGAATTCCAGTGCTTTTGAAAGAAGATTGGATGAAGTCCATCCGGTCCAGGTGCCTTGAGAGGTTTGAAAGATTTTATTGCTCTATGGATTTAATCCTCTGAAATGGGTCTTGATGATATGCTTCTATCCTCCTCGGATAGAGCGCAATCAAATCGTTCGAGAGAAGCATTTTTGCTGGCCAAAAGTTTAGATGAATAGATGATGTTGTAGTGATTTAGGATAATAGAATTAATTTCTTGGTTATCATAAGTCCAGTTACTTAAAGAGTCATTAAATCCTAGCATCCTGTTGCGTCTTCTTGTTTGAATAGTAGAGGTGTGGAAAAACTTTGTATTTACGTCCCCCTCATTATGCCATTGAACTCTAGATTTTAGCTTCCAAAAATCTTCTTCTTGTTTTAGCACTAAATTATATTGGTCACGAAGGTTATTTTTTAGGCGTTGGTGGTAAGTAGACTTATTTGAAATGTTTATATTTTGAAGTCCTACTAGTCATGCTAGTAGGCCCTTTTTTGCGTGGAAAATATTTCCAAAAGTAGTCATATTCCAATGCATTTAGTAAATATGTTAGGTGGCAACTCCAAAAAATCCCTTAAAAATGTCAATGTGTTACTTTTCGCCCTTTCCCATTTAAAATGGGGTGCAAGTGTGCAACTCATGTCACCATTTAAGTTTTAGAAAACCAATGACAAATTAAACCTCCCCTAAATGGTGAATGTTTTTTCATCACAGTAGCAAAGGGTAATGTTCACGGCATAATACCAAGAAGATAAGTTTCTTCTAATCACATTAGACGAATTTTGTGCTTGAAGGATTAATGCAAAGAATAAAAATGAAAAAAACGTTGCTAAGCTTCTAAATGGCAAAGCGGTATTTCGAAAATGAAAGTAAATATAAAGTACTTAATTTTCAGGGTTCAAGTCCAAAACATATGATTAAGGGCGAAGAAACTCAATCATCCTACTATGTTCCTAATGGTCGATAAATATTTTTCTTAATCATTCTGATATTATTTGTCTATTTTCTGTTGTTGTTACATACCTTTTGTCTTTGAGCCGGGGTAAAGGTACATTCTAACTTCCCAGATCCAACTAGTAGAATTATTACTGAATTGTTGTTATTGTTCTCGTCGTCGTCTTCTTCTTCGTACGCATTTTTAGAGGGTCAAAGGGCTAGGAGTCTATTTGATGAGGAAATAACTCGTATTCATATATTTTCTGTGACAAAATTATTTGTTTTTCAATTAAAAGGTCAAAATTCTCATGGCTAATTACATTTTGCCACGTAGGCAAACATTATCTTTTAAACTCAAAAACTGTCTGAAAGTTATTATTGGTTGAAGCAGCAATGGTGGTTTTGGGAGTTGTTTCTCCACAGTATATCCTCCCTTTAGTTCCCATATGTAAAACCCAAATTCCCCCGAGTTCTTCAGAAACCCAATATTTGACGAGGCGTAAAGCTTTGATGTTTACTTCTTCTCTGGTTTCTTCTTTCATATATACATCTCATCACTCTGCTACTGCTTTCCAAGTCGACGAATTTCAGCGAGATGAAGATAGAATTGTTCAGCTCTTTGAGGTAAATGTCCCACAAGAAATACAAAATCCTAATAATTATTTTTTTTTCTCAATTTTGTTTGTATATTGCTCCTTCTGTCCCAATTTAAGTGTCATACTTTAAAAGTGCAGCCAATTGCACTAAGTTCTTGCTATGTGCCGGGTCCGGGAAAGGGGCGGACCACAGAAATTTATTGTACTCAGCATTTCTGTAAGAACCTGTTTCTACAACTCGAACCCATGACCTCCCGGTCACCTGACAGCAATTGTACCGGTTATGCCAATGCTTTCCTTCGTGTCATACTTTTCTTTCTAATTTATCCCAAAACAATATCATAATTCCTTATTTAGAAACAATTTAACTTTAAACATCCTATTCTACCTTTAATGCGATGATTTAACCACACAAATATAAATATTTATGATTTGTTTTAGATCACAAGTTTCAAAAGTTTTTGTTCTTTTCTTAAACTCCATGCCGAATCAAATACCGTCATATAAATTGAGACGGAGTGAGTAGTAGTAATAGACTTAAGTATGACGGAAATGCAGATAAATTCAATGATGAATTGTGTTGCCAATTTGGTGCTTTTTGTGTTTTATGGGGAAGAGAATTCCATGGAGGAAATGGTACAAAATTTCTTGTGTTTTATGCAGTATTGTTAAAAATTGAACATTGAGTTTAGCTCAACTTCAAAAGCTAGTTCAGAGGAGTGTGGATAACATAACGTGGGTGCCCAACATTGAGACAAATAATAATAGAGATTTGACACTGATACGATGATCAAAGAAGGACTTTGAGGCTAACTCAGATATTAAACAAATAAAAAACATAAGGATTACTCAAGATCATATAAGGATACAAACAACTCATTCCTCAATCATACATTACCAATTTCGTATGTCTTACATAAAGATCTCATGTGATATGGATCATATAACTAAAAGAACATTTGTAAGTTTGAACAAGATCTATTTTTATACAACTTTCAAGAATTCAGTTATGTAATGTGAAGAGTGAAGAATACTTTTATATCCCTATATCGAGTAAATATTGTTCCCATTGTCCCAATTTATATAGCACTCTTTTATTTTCAAACTACCCAAACTTTTTTTTACTAGAACTATTTTTATACAACTTTCAAGAATATTAGAGGTAAAGTTAACCATTTGTTAGGGTATGGAAAGTGAAGATTGTAAATTGGATGTCTTGAAGTAAGAACTCATTATATACTGGCTGAACTTTGTGAGTCGCGTATATTCATAAGTATAATATAATGTTGGACTTGAGTCTTAGTAGAATTGAACTCTCGACAGTTGTGAGTCTTGTGACTTGTATACTTACATTGCAGCCGTTGTTAAACTTGTCAAAAGCTTGTTTGTATTTAAAAGAAATGTGTCATATGTCATTGAATAGAGGGTGTAGAAAGGAATTAACTTTGTTCAGATGAGACAATTTGCGTGTCATTTGGAAGACCTTGCTCCCATCTTAAATCACTGAATGATTCATGTAAGAGTAAATGAAACACATATTGAGTTCCTGCAATCGGGTAACGTAAAATGCTTTTCTCATGTTATCCTCCAATTTTTAATAGTGTCTTCAAATTGCTTAACTGATCTAAGGTTTCTCATCTTTGCTAACTATACTACAAAGTAGAAAAGCAATAACCTTGTTAACATTTGCTGCATTTCAAGACAATTTTATGGTATTGGACATCCAAGTGAACAGATAGCTTGAAGAATAAATCATGAATAAATTGCGTCCAAAATCTGTGCAACAACAATAAGACGAGAGCATCAACATGTCATCTTTGTCTTACATGTTTAGTGATTGATGAGTTTATCGATTCTAAATGTAGTAACAGAACTAATTATGTAAATGCAGGAAACTTCCCCTTCTGTTGTTTTCATTAAGGGCCTTGAGTTGGCTAAAGGCTCCAATGGCTCTACTACGGTGCTAGCAAACGACGAGAATGCAAAAGTGGAAGGGACAGGTTCGGGCTTCATTTGGGATAAGTTTGGTCACATTGTACGATGTTTCAACTTTAAGGATTACAAATATGCAACGAATATCTAGAACTTTCCATGTTAATTGGATTAATTCTCCTGCTGATTATCTCAAGATATTTAAATGCCTCGTCTCAAGAAAGACAAATGCTTGATGTCAGACTTGTATTTAAGATTCCAATGGTTTTTACTTTCTTATGGCCACCAAAAAATTTCACACACTTGAAATTCAGTTCCTCTCATCTAAAATTTTTGTTCGTGCTTCTAATCTTGCTTCGGAGTTTGCCATAAATTTGTCTCAGTATTGACCACATATAATGTACCTATAATTCTGAAATCAGATAGTTCTCTGAGAATGGGGCATGATTATTTTGTGATTATCGCAGGTTACCAATTACCATGTCATTGCTAAATTAGCTACTGATCAAAGTGGGCTGCAGCGTTGTAAGGTTTCTGCATTCCTGGTGTTTTATTCCGTTGGTTCTTTTTTATCCGGATATTGAACAGGACTGCTCCATTTCAGGTCATTCTAATTTTGAAAAGTTTTCCTTTTCAGGTTTCCTTAGTAAATGCTAAAGGAGGGAGCATAGCTAAGGTAGCGAAGATTGTAGGTGTTGATCCAGCATATGATCTGGCTGTTCTCAAGGTGTTGAATCAATCTATTACTTGATATGGTTGCCAATTGCCATTGTTTTACTACTTTATTCTCTATGGAGCCTTGGAGCAATGGTCAAGTTATCTCCGTGTGACCTATAGGTCATGGGTTCGAGCCGTGAAATCAGCCATTGATGCTTGCATCAGGATTGGCTGCCTACATCACCGCCCCTTGGGGTGCAGCTCTTTTCCGGACCTTGCGTGATAACGCGGGATGCTTCGTGCACCGGGCTGCACTTTTATTCTCATTACTGGTCAGCTATATGCTAACAATTTATTTATCCAAATTTCTCCATCTAAATGTTTTTGATAGATTGGTTAACTGGACAAAAATATGACATATATGACATTATCTAGCTCCTTCCATTCTATTTTTTATGACATTATTTGTATACAAGCTCTTACAGTTCCAACACCCCTCCCTCTCTAACTTCTCAACTTTTATCTGTTATTGCTTCTCTCTTTTAGCAAAAAAGCAATTTTATAGGGACAAGTGAGAACACATCTCTTAGATTAGATCTAGTGAAAATGAAATGTTAGAAGGAGAATGCATACTAAGCATGAAAAAAATACGTGCAAAATAAAGTTGTCAAACAACTTTCGATATCTATACAAGCTGATTGGTTGAAAAGTCCCCTCGGTGTAATTAGTTTTTCTCTTATTTAACTGCAGGTTGATGTTGAAGGTGATGAAGTAAAACCAATCTCTGTTGGTACCTCCCGTGGCTTACGTGTAGGTCAAAGTTGCTTTGCCATTGGAAATCCCTATGGATTTGAAAACACTCTGACAACTGGGGTAATACTTATCTACAGCAGTTCAGAATATTTCCATGCGGAGACTAATTTTTATGGTTTCATCCCCACGGAAAAGCCTTTTTAGCATTTATATTTCATGCATTTCTGCTAAACCTACTTAATATGGAACTTGTAATCTTGATTTCCTCTTAGGATGTTAAATGTTCACATTTTTATAAAAGGGCAGCTCTCTCCTTTTGATGTATTTATTCAACTCATACTCTCGATATCTTAAAACTATCAACTCCCGAGAATTTACTCACCTCTAGTCAAGACAGAACCAAATTTTGAAACTGATGAAGCTATTAAACTGATTTGCTCGTGTTTTCTCCATGCAAAAGGGAAAGGGAAGAAAAGAAACTGATTCATGGGGAAAGCTGATAATTAGTAAGTTATTGTTGTTTATCTGATTACTTCAAATATTACAGGTAGTTAGTGGATTAGGCAGGGAAATACCTGCACCAAATGGAGCTGCTATTAAAGGAGCTATTCAAACAGATGCTGCTATTAATGCTGGTAATCATTATTCTTCAGTTTTCCTATATGAGATATTTACTGTTTGAGAGTAAAGTTTGGTGATAGCACTACAGTCACCTCTGTGCGATGTACTGTTTGATTAGGATGTAAGAGATTGTTTAGAGAGCAAAAAAAGCAGAGCCAGTTAAACGGCTATTAATCTGGTTTGCATGGGCATGAGACGGGGTTGAGTGCTGGGTTGATTTTGTGGATGAGGTTCAATGTCCAACTGCAGAAAGTGTCAAAGTAGAATACTTCTCTTTGATTAAAACTCATGATTCATCAATTTACTTATGCAGGGAATTCAGGTGGCCCATTGATTGATTCATCTGGTCATGTAATTGGTGTAAACACAGCGACCTTCACCCGCAGAGGTATGAAATTCATTGCTTTTGTTATTTCTAGAAATGTTAGTTAATGAGGAATAAAACATTAACTAAAGTTATGTGTAGGTCACCTCCTTTTTTCACTGGTAATCTGTGATGAGGTGTGTGCCAGCCTACTTAACACACATTTCTAGAATGAGTAATATATTTGCTATTGAATCTTGATTAGCCTGTAGGTTACACCATTTTGTGATTTTACTAAGAACCGTTTGTCATGTACTGCATAATCGGCGTGATCTGAACGAAATTATAGCTCAACCTTACTTGAAGCTGTAGAGTTGGACAGGTGAATCAGTTAACCTATACAAGATATTTGACCATCTTATAGTCATTTCAGTTACATGGTCCTAAATGAACTACGTATTACTTCTCTTGCTGCCTCCAGGAGTTTAATACCGCTGGTCCTCATGAATGTATTTAATATATGGAGAAACGTAGTATCAGAAAAAGATGAAATCTGAGTGAATGTCTAATTGCTTTTAGATTTCAATGATGATGCAGGCTCGGGTATGTCCTCAGGGGTTAACTTTGCCATACCAATTGACACAGTTATACGAACAATACCTTACCTGATCGTTTATGGAACAGCATACAAAGACAGATATTGAAAATATGCAGTTAGAAAGTTACTTGTGCATGATCTGTGATGAACTTGACCGAAAAGGCTTTTGTTTGGAGCTGGAAGAAAACCATGTTCTTAACAGCAAGCAACTTCTTGTGGTGCTTAGTCAATACATGTTATTTTATTGGAAAAAGGGGCAGATTTGCCCCTCTACTTTCAAAAATTGTATACATTTAACGTCCGTTATATTTTCAGACCAAAAACGCTCATGCCACTAGCAAAGTTGTTAAAAAGAAATCTAAGCCTAAAGGAGGTCTATGACCCAGCTTTGCTCTCTTTTGCCTCTTCCATCAAAACCATTTCCTTAATCTTCAATGGCATGAATCCAAACTCTCTTTTTTAATACTACCCAATCGCCTCCTTTGCTGTATTTCACTCAATGCAAAGAAGATAAAATCAAGAAAAGCAAAGCTGAACAAAAAAAAAAAAAAAAGAAAAAGCAATTGTCTAGTACAGCTCTTCACCAAATCCCCATTGCAAATAACCATGACGGGCGATTACAAATTTGAGATGCATTACAAAGGAAAAGAACGTTAGATGCAATATTTATTATTAGAATTGCTTGAAAAGCATGTCTACAAAGCCAAAGAAGAAGAAAGTCCAGCTCCCCCACAGCACAATGTGACACAGGCTTTTGCTCAGATATAATGCGGTCCTCAATTAGTTGAAAGTTTCACATCAGCTGGAGTCAGCGGCGTATCCACCTTGTTGCATGCGATGTCACAGGAGACCGCTTCGTCAAAGTTTTTTACAAGATATATATAAGAAAAATGAAAAATGACACCACTTATAATTATAGTAATTTGTTCATTAGTTTGCTTTTTTAAATTGTGACGCCGTTTATGAAATATCCTGCACGCCATTGGCTGGAGTAAATAATCCAATTACTCGAGAAGATGAGGAAGAAGGCAGAATTAATTTCCTCAATCAAGACCTAGAGATAGGAAATACTTATGCGAAAATTCAAACTGCAGTTTAAGATATTTAAGTTTAGATATCTACTAGATCTACACTTCACTGCATGTTTTTGGCTGCCTGAAAGGAGGAGTTTGCTCCCAGTAAGTTCACAATCATAGAGAAATGAATCAATAATAGGAAATTTTGACCTCAGCGTTAACAAAAAATGGAAACATAAATCCACTAGAGTCAACATTCGCGTTTCTAATTGTTACAGGGTACAATCATTTATAGATAGTGTAAAGTTCAAGAATGGAAAGGTAATACTTAACCTAAGGAATCCCAGTCCGATTGCTGAATAGAAGTCTTGAAGTTGTAATTTCCCATCTCATCAACTTGTGTGTCTTTGATTTCAGCGGCTTATTTTGCAGCAGATGAGCTACACCATTGCACCTGAATATGTTGACTATGGTTAAGCAAGCTGACTCTACTAGAGTTAAGTTAAAGAAGTAGAGTTAGTTGTTAAGAAGTTAGTTAGGTTGTTAAATGTTAGTTAAGAAGGTTGTTAGTACTGTAGTTGTGTATATAATCTCTGTATTCTCATTGAAGTGAATGTAAGATTTCATTTTCTCAGTTTCACAGAATCGGTGGCTTCATTCTCTTTTCTCCTCTCTCCTTCAGGACCTTAACTGCTCAACTGCAACCGAGCTGTAACCGCCATTGCCATGGCTGTTAACATGGTATCAGAGCCTATGCTCTCGATCTAGATCGCTCGTCAGCACACTAGCATTCGATTAGTCACTACACTTCTCTCTCACAGTATTGAAGTGTCTGAAAGTGATCCAAATCGAATCTAGGGTTTGAGGCTTGAGCGAATTTTAAAAAAAATTGATGTTACTCTGTTGTTGCAATGGCAATTGGGGATAATTCTTCACCATCTGAAGCTTAACACACTCGTGCTACTTGTACGAGTACCTTCACTGCTGGAACCACAAGCTTTTCTGTCATTGACCACAACCATCCAATGTACCTTCAACCAACTGGCACTCCAGGTAGCTCTTTGATTTCTCTCCAATTGAATGGACCAGATATTATGCATTGTGGAGTCGTGCTATGAGAGTTGGTATAATAGAAAAAAGCAAATTAGGTTTTGTCGATGGCCGCTTTCCTAAGTCTAGGATTGAACCTGCTCTTCATGATCTCTAGGAGAAGGTGAATGATGTGGTGTGTTGTATGCATCTGATGCACACAAAGTGTGGGAAGACTTGAAGGAGAGATTTGACAAGGTTAATGGATCCAGAGTATTATACTTACATAGAGAAATTCACATCCTCACACAGAGCACCATGACCGTGACTGACTACTTCACTAAGCTGAAGGATTTGTGGGATGAATTTGATGCACTTATGCCATGTCCTGGCTACCCTTTCCCAGAGTCTAAGAAGTATCCACAGCACTTTGAATATCACAGACTTCTACGATTCCTTATGGGCCTGAATGAGTCATACTCACAAGCTAGAAGTCAGATCATGATGATGAATCATATTCCCAGCATCAATAAAGCATACTCAATGCTTGTTGATCAGGAGATTCAAAGGCATATAGCCAATTTCACTCAGGCAGTGCAAGTTACTGAGAGTTTAGATAGCACTACACCCTACAGCAACAAAGTGACTAACAACATAGGGAGCCAATTTAAACCAGCAGGTAATTGTAGGCAAAAGGAAAAGTCAAGTTTAGTGTGAATATTGTCACTTCAAGGGACATACAAAGGAAAACTGATACAAGTTGATTGGGTACCCACAGGATTTCAAGCCTAAAGAAAAGGTGCTAGTCCTGACATTTATTCAAACATTGCTAGTGGTGCAGCCTATCCAACAGTAGAAGGTTGTAATACAGTAAGCTGCTGTCAACAACAAGGTATTAATAAACAATGCAGAGGTAAGGTTGGTCTGTCTCAGCCCTCACAGACTAGAGGAGGTTACTCAGATTTCACTCAGCCTCAACCAGCACCAGGCAAGATACATGTACCCTTCTTCACTCAGGAGCAATACCAACAGATTGTGCACTTGCTTAACAAAGAAGTTGAGGAAGGAGTCTCTAGCAAAGCTTCATCTGTAGGTATTCCGATATCCTTACTGTCTGAGTATGTTAATCACAACTAGATAGTAGACACATGCGCATCAAATCATATGACAGCAAATCTACAGATGTTAAATAGCTATCAACAGATTCCTATATCACAAAGAAGTAAAGTTCACTTACCTATAGGAACCATCGTCCTAGTGTCTCATAAAGGGAATTCTATTGTACTTAAGGATCAGGATATTAGTAATGTGCTTTACATACCTGACTTTAAGTACAACCTCCTATCTGTTTCTCAGCTCACCAAGGAACTACAGTGCTTAGTAGCTTTCTTTCCTAATTTTTGTGTATTTCAGGACCTCTACAATGGTCAGGTGATGGGGATTGGTAAGGAAGATCATGGGCTCTATCTGCTGAAAGGGAGGCTTCGTATGAAGGCTAAGTCAAGCTCTACAGCTAATAATAAATGGGCACATATAGCTACTAGCACTAGTATCAATACTACAACTCCTCATTTGTGGCATATAAGGCTCTATCTTGTCACTATCCCTTGTATTCCTATCACATATAACAATATCACTATTTCATACTGTCATGCTCTCACAGTGTACTCTTCTACCACTAAACCTAAGTCATTTGCAGAAGCAGCCAAGGACCCTAAGTGGATAAAAGCGATGCAGTTGGAGATTGAGGCCCTAGAATCTAATCACACATGGAGCATAGTAGATCTTCCTCCTAACAAAATACCTATAGGGTGCAAGTGGATATTCAAGATCAAGTACAAGGCTTCGGTGGAGATATAGAGGTTCAAAGCTAGACTGGTAGCTAAGGGCTACAGTCAGCAGGAAGGTCTTTACTACCTGTAGCTAAGATGGTCACAGTAAGATCCATTATTGCTCTTGCCGCCTCTATGAATTGGATAATCTATCAGATGGATGTCCATAATGCTTTTTTGAATGGTGATCTATTAGAAGAAGTCTACATGCATATTTCTCAGGGGTTTGCTAGACAGGGGGAGACTATGAAGGTCTGCAAACTCTATAAGTCATTATATAGCCTCAAACAGACTCCTAGACAATGGAACAGAAAGCTGGCAGAGGCCTTGGTCCAAGTGGGATTTCAGCAAAGTCTATGACTATTCTATGTTCACCAAGAAGACCAATGGTAATATAACAGTGATGTTAGTCTATGTAGATGACTTACTAATTACAGGAAGTAGTCAGCATCTTCTGCAACAAACTAGAGATGAGTTGCAAACCAGATTCAAGATGAAAGACTTGGGAGAGTTAAAGTTCTTTTTTGGAATTGAGTTTGCAAGATCAAGTAAGGGTATTGCGATGTGTCAAAGGAAATATGTCCTAGAACTAATAGTTGAAGCTGAACTTGGAGGAGCTAAGCCAGTGGGTACACCTTTAGAACTGAACCACAGACTGACATCTCAGGAGTATGATAAGCACACATAAAGCAACAGCAAGGATGAAAATCTCAAGGATGCAGGCCCTTATCAGAGGCTAGTAGACAGGCTGTTGTATCTCACCATGACCAGACTATAACTCGGCTTTACAGTTCAAGTACTGAGTCAGTACATGCATAGCCCAAAGGTTTATCATATGGAGGCTACTGATGATAGGCTATAATTACGTATTTTAGTCATTTATTACACTCTAATTTACTGCACTTTAATTGAGTTTGAGCTTTAACCGCTAGTGTTTTGCACTAACTGTGTATCTTATGCCTTGTAGGAGTGATTCCAAGCTATATAGATGTTATGGAATGAATTCAAGTGATTTGGAGCTTTGAAGTATGAGTAAAAGTCCAAGGAATTAAGTCGGGATCGTGTTAGGGGTCAACTTTGATAGTTAAGAACAAACGAAGACTCGAGTAGGCATATTGCGCACTGTCTAGTAAAATAGACATAGCTCTTTTCTCAGAACTCCATTTGGACTATATAATATATGGTTGGAAAGCTAACGCAAAGAGCTACAACTTTCATGTTTTACGTTTTTCTAACTTCCAAATGGAACAGGCTGAGAAACACGGTCGAAACCGCGATCGTGGACCTGGTCGCGGACTGAGGCAGTGCACTTGTTAATATGCGCGGCCACTAGCGCGATCACTAGCGTGCCCGCGCTAGTCTAGGCCTGGAAACTTTTCCTTTTTCACATTGGAGAAGGAATAATTTTTTGGGACCAATCCTACTTGGTATATATACATGGAGAAACGGTATTTTGAGGAGGTTGGACATGTTTGAGACACAGATTCGACCTAAGGAGGCAGAGACACAATAGGAGCAAG